TGATTTCCAATTTATATTCCCCCATAAATAACAGAAGAGATTGACAGTGACATTAGCATGCACAGAAATATTTTCAGGACAGGTAGGTATTTAAATCCGCACCAAATGAACCTAGACGATTATTTTATGGTGCAGCCCAGGTGTCATCCACATCAGTGGCTACCAACGTGACAAACTCGAGCTTCCTTTATGTGGAGACCAGGAGAAGAAGGGAAATGCTGGAGGACAGCTGAATCTCATCTTCGCATTGGGCTGAGACGCTTCCAGGGAGCACAACATTACTTCTGTACCCATTTATTTAAGCATAGTCTAAAAAGCTCAGTATTCCTAATTTCTGATATGGATTTTGAGGGAAACTCCATAGTGAGAAATATTTTTGAGTGAGAAGAAATTTGTTCATTTTTATGACTTAGAGTAACTGTTTATTTTATTAATTATAACCTGTGTTCATTGTAGTAATGCTACATATAAGAAGAAAGTATACCCTACACACGGCATAGAAAAAATGTTTTACTATTAACATTGATGGTCAAAATCTGTTATGAATTATTAGACGATCTTCATTTGAGTCTGATTCTGGATCTCTTACACTTAGGTGTCTCCCACTATTAATGTTTAAAATGACTGAAAGACATTGTCGGGAATTCCAGATAAATCTCACAAAGTTATGACAAGTCTCACATTATCTGTGAGATAATTATCTGTGAGAGGTCCACTACATGAATCTTAAGTAAAGTACTAATCCATCAAATATTGGGATTATGTGAAAATATTCAATATTTAAAAATAAAATAATTCTAGTGTCTGCATTTGCACTAAAAAAAAAAAAAAAGGTGTTCTTTAGAGAACCAAAAGCCAGAAGATGAATAAACCTTCCCCTACCTCTTTTTAAATTGCTTTAAAATGACAGTATTTTAGTCAGTCTCCAACCGCGGCAAGACTTCTTTGTTTGCACAGTCTGGTTCAGAAACACTGCTGAAATGGGTACAACCATACAAACCCATTTTAAACATATTTCTGCACTGTAGTGTCCTGGCTACATTTTGCCTCAATGTGTCTTACAATGCAGACAATCTACAGTGCAACATATATTATTTTGTGACATAGAGATAAGCAGCATCCTCCAGCAGCAGCAAATTCTAGAGGAGGCACATCACCAGTAGCCCCATGGTCAGATCATTCACCTAGGACACCGGAGTTTCAGTAGTATGGCTATTCTATACTTCTGTGTGTGCATTTGAACTTCCACTTCCCAGGGAAGTGTCCAAACAGACAGGAAAAAACCCTGACATTCACAATGAATTCAGTGTTTTTCTCTAGAATTTTTTAATCAGCCTAGAATTCCATGAATTTTGCAGAAAGGCTAACATCCTAGTTCAACTTCTTTGTTTACATGAAATTCTTCACATTATTGAGGAGCTTTAGGAAACTACACACTTCCATGCACAGTTTCTGTTCAGTGGTAAGGAGGGTGAGCCAATTCAGAAATTTGTGTTATATTAACTCTGCACTTTAGCCTTAAAATCTGAGTCACAAGGCATCCCTTCTCATTTTTTTTCCTTATGTACCATACTTGCAGTGCCAGTCGCTGATTTTACGTAGCTTCCACGGCCTAGGGACGCGGTCTGAATCATCAAGAAAGAACACCAAACTCTGCAAGTCTGAAGTAAATGAGATGAAAAAGGAGGGAATCTATACAATAAATCCATTTTAATAGCAGTAACCTCAGGATTATCAGTGAACTCAGAAATTTTATTAGACTGTGTCAAACTGAAAGCTTCCTTTTTGACTGAAAGATTGACCTTGTCTGCCTGTATTTTCTCTACCTCTGTCTTGGACTGAAGCCCTAAGTACTGGCACAAAGCTAATAATAGCAGATATTTCACAAGAATCCGTTTAAATGAAACACCATTCCACAAAAGTGATTGTAATTCAAAGCAAACTGTTTTTCCAAATCCAAATGCTCAAGTAACTAAGCAACTAATTAACTGGATTACTTGGAGGAGGAGTTACATCAATCAACAACACTGATAAGTACTCCCCTGACAAAGGCAGCTAGAGTCTACTGCAGCCAGAAAGAAATAATTTTTTAAAAAATACTTACATAATGAGAAACAAAAATAAAGAAACATACACATGCATTCTCTGTTTTGTCTGGGTTCATAATCTAAACTACAGACAAAAAGGCAGGATTATGGGCTCTGACCTAATCCCCAAGAATATTCCTGATCATCAGGAAAATAAAGCAAGGAAGAACATATAGAAGAATTCATTATTGCATTTAATTTTATGTCTCTCATGACACCTGTGTAATGCCAATGTTCTAACAGAATGCAATGTCAAAATTGGGCATTCTGTCCCAGATCCATGACATGCACCTGAAGGGTTAAATAGTTAATCCAAACCACAGATGAATGTGGTTTGAAAAATGATTCAGTGCTGCCACAGCCTAGATAAGGAAGCTGTAGTATCAGCATGTATTTCTGGGAAAGGAATTACCATGAACTTGACTGCATTTATATCTGAAAAATAAATATCGCCTGGGAACATGCTCAGGTGAAATGGAACCCAATTCTGTCTAATGTTAAACCATTATCTGGTAGTCTTTAGTTGCTTTTGGCCCAAGCCAAATAACTCACTCAGAGACAAGTCACACGAACGTTTCAGGAATTAGCTTGTATAAGGGATCATTCCTAGGAGGCAGGATTCCACAGAATGGTCCTGGCTATGCTTAATTTCTTAACACAGAACTAGCCTTTATGTCCATTAAAAATCCTTAAGGGGCAAAACAAGAAATACAAATGAAGTTTACTAAAGCCCACTGAGACGAAAAATCGCACTGCTTCTGTAAATCTATCCTGGAAGCCTGTTGAGCAATGCTGCACAAAGGAAGCTTTTTTGTTTGGCTTTTTATTTATTTTACAAATAACTTTTGATTTCAAGAACATTCAATTTACCCATCCTCATCTGAAACAGATGTTAAAGCAGATGCAGTATTGTAAAGGTGTCAGGTAATATATGCTATTGAATGTGCATAACATAATGTCAAATTTTATCTAAAAAAACCCTACCACTTTCCAATTTTAAATCATAAGCAATAAAGTATATGGTAACAAAAAGAATATTAACTCTCCACTCAGACTGCATCCTGAGGAAATTATCAACCATGTTCCTCATCTCAATTTTGATACCGAATAATTCAATTCAAAAAACATGAATGTTTTTGAACAACAATCTATCATCATTTAACAAAATTAACACAGAAGTATCTCCTAAAAAACATATGTAAAAAGTACATGATAACAGGCTCTACACCAAAATGTCTTTTTTACAGTATTTCATAGTTATTTTTCAAAACCAAATGAAGAGGAGTTCTTCATAAGTATTCTTAAAGGTAAGGGTTCTAATGGAAGGACTTTCTAATCATATTTCTCATCACTTCTGAGCAGTTAAGGAAATAGTAGGAAGGAAGATTCAGGTAACTGTTATACTGTTAATATGAACAATAAAGCAAGATCAAGGGCAAAATGACACGTAAAGGCCACGGTCTTGAAATGGCAGCCCCATATGCATATGACTGCACAGTAGCAGTGATCGATCTTGTCTAAACGGCCTTTCCTGGAGAACCCAGTGGAGGTATGCTATATACACTTGTGTCAGAAAAGTCCGTGCCCTCATTCCACCAGGAGAAAGGAAAGATAGTTTTTAAAATGTCTCCTATGTTAGGCTTTATTCCTGTGTCTTTGATCTTATTTCCCTGAGAGTAACGGTTTCTGACACCAAGAACACAACCCAAGATTCTTGGACTTAAACCCAGTGAGATTTTTTTTCCATAGCTGACAGCCCATCCTGGATCAAGCTCTTAATATATCAACATATACTGTACTTACCCACATACCTTTCCATACTCAAACTTCCTCTGAACCCAACAGAACCGAAGTGTGTATGACAGGATAAGGAGATGCAGCTCTCATTGCCTAAAATTATCACAATCATCTGTCTTTTTGTACTGTTCATTAGCCATACAGTAAATCTTACCTTATCAAGTTCATCAGAAATAGCAATGCCTGAAAATGAAACAGATTTTAAAAAAAAAGATTTAGAAACATTCTTTCTATAAATACCTTTTACTACAGTAAGTAAAAGTAAGGTTTAATCTGAAAAGTTTACACGTTGGTCTCAGCACACTGCTGTACCATACAACGCATCACACTTTGTTCCATTAGTGAAATCTGCCTGAGGCTTTCCTATGTTTACTTCCATCATGTCATCTAACTCTTTTAATTATGACTGTCCTGTAGCACATTAAATATGCACAGCTGGTCTCAAAATTTTTAACACATCTACACACCACTGTCATATTACATGGAAAGATCAAGTAATCATACATTTAATGCTCGCATGTTGAAAATTCTGATATATTTCCCAGGTTCCTATGGGGTTTGATAAGAAATATTTTCAGGTTAGAACTTCAGTTCAAAAACCAAATACAAGTATCTCCTGGCAGTGAAAATAAAGTGGAGAAGTACCCATGCATAGGAAGAACACACACTTGAAAGTTGTTTTCTATTTCATATCATATTATCAAGACAACTTCTTTGAAGGGATGCAAGAAATGATACTGCAAAACATGTAGTATCAGCTGAGTGGAGAGTTATTCTTTCTAAAATCACACTAAAGATTGCAGCATATAAGGTTATTTCCATGACATTTTTATTTCTTATTATTTGGTATACCATAACTACATGAATTCTTTGGGTTTTTATTATACTTTCAATCGTTAACTCTATGTGGCTAATTCTCAGATGACTTCCTTCTATCGATTTTTGTTTCAAAAACAGTGAAGTGCTAGGAGAACTGCAATCATAATTTTAAGACGTCATCAACACATAAGAAATATGCCAGGAGTTAACGGAATTATTTTTAGTTATTCAATAGTTCTAAAGTAGATTATATTGAAAAAGATCCATTTTGCCTAACCCTTCTATCCCTCATAGTAATTAACCCATTTTAATAACATCAGACTTTTATTTAGGCCAGACACTACACTAATGTCCATACAGTATAATCAGCAGGTTCCACCAATCTGAATCATACAACAGCACTTTAATGTGTTATGAATTTCTTCAATCCTCAATGGCCATTTACTAGAGAGAAGATAACCGCACTCTTGGAGTTAGTAAAAACCTAACTCAAGGTTCTCTTTATCTCAACTTTGAAAGCTTGATTTCCATCAACCAGCTCTCCATCATATTGGATGTATTTTGCATAACCAAGGTCAATCCATTTTACAATCACAAATGCTCTCTCTAAAGAGAAAAACTACCTTTTCTCAGCAATTTCCCATCATGTTAAGACAGTTCATTTTGGTTTGATAGGGGTTTACTTCCTCAGACTGGAGGTTGGCTGCCTTTTCTTCTGCTTTCACAGATGCTCTGTGAATGGGTCTTTGAAACTTGGGAGCGGACACAAGAGCGATTTTTCCCTGTGCAGACTTACTCATTAAAAATATTTATTTTCAAGTATGACAAAAGAAACTACAAAAGGCACCCTTTCCATTTCCAAGACTCTATTCCAAAAAATGCCAAATGCTTTTACTATTCAACTGCCTACGTTGCTAATCAAAGCTCAGTACTGGAAGTATCAAATGGGAAAAACTGTACGTACAACTATATGCCTCACACAAAAAGCTCTGCTAACTTCTCTGATTATGTTACACACAAGCATATAAAATTTAAAAACATCCATAATCTAAAGGAGTGGTTTTAGTAAAATGCTTTTTTTTTTTTTTTATGAGTCCCATTGGGTCCCCAGAATTTACTCTGAATTTAGAGAAGACTAAGCTGAGTAATTGAATTGACCAGAATGCCTCAGATTTCTGCTTTACTAAATTGCAAACAGTTGCAAGACACCAAAACTAACTGTATTTCTTAGATAAGTATGTAGACAGATAGCAGTTTCTGAGGACACATTGCCAAAATAAGATTTTTAAAGTTTAGAAAACTTTTATCTTTGCAATCACAGAATTAAACCTGTAAATCCTTTTTACATCTCTCTATCTGATCTGGTATCAAGAGAAAAGAAAAGAATTCTTGGGAAGAAATTTCTTAAGGAGCTTGTTACAGTAATCTTGGCATGATGATTCTTCTGGAGGCAGGATTTACCGTACTGTCAGTCATACAAGATCTTTATGTTATGGTTTGAGCCCCATTAATGTTAACAAAACTCAATTAGTTACTGATAATACAACTCCATTAGGAGAGACCAAGATAAACCAACCCATAAAAAGGTGGGTGGAAAAAAAGCTTCTCGTTTTCTTCCAAGATACTACCGCACCACACATTTAGTGTGTGCCCACTCTTACCAATTTTCCTTTGCAGTTGTCAAACTGATAAAATATCACAGCTGAAGTTGAAAGGAGGGGGGACTTGCACACTGCATGCAGTAGGCAGAAAATCACAACAGTGAGGCAATTTTTTGGGTGTAGATCTCAGGTGGAATAATATGGACTCCAGTTTTCACAAAGCAGTTCCTCAAAAACTTAAACCCATTGCATATTTACCATAACAGTAAAAAAACCCAAAACACCTTAATCCAGAATCCTCAGAACGCAACTGGAGATAGTCGTAATTATCATACAGGTGTATTTAGGATTTCTGTTGTTCTCTTAACCCTCAGACACTCCTCACTTTTCGGTAGTCAAATAGGTCACTGTCATTTATTTTCAAGTAATACATTGGCAAATCAAAATAGTTGAATTTTTACAAAGTAATGGTAAGAATGGTTGCTATCTCCAGTTCATGTAATTGTTAATATCCAGAGATCAGCATTTTTCAAAAAGAAAACCCTCTTTTCACTTGTTTTGTATATTTGGCAACAAATAACTGGCTGATGCTCTCTGTACCTTGTACAGTTATTTTCACTTTTTTCTCTCTGGTTTTCATACAAGGTAAAAGAGGAAATACAAATTTTAATTTTTATATATTCTAAATAGGAAAATGTCATTGTAAAATCACAGAATACTAGAGACAAAGAGACAGCCCTTTCCATGAGACTACTCTAAATGGAAACAGCTGTGTTTCAGGTTTAAGCAAAACATCCATAGGTGTAGCCAAAATGTCCATACACTAAAAACTTTTTACCTAACTATTTAGTCACTTCCTCAAACTGTAACCTTTTTTCATCACAACTTAATCCTAATCACCAAAAAGCTCTAACACCAGAAAAACTGACACATCTAGTTTATTCAACCTTGACTCCAATGGCTTTGTTAGAGTGTAAGTTATTAGCAACAACTGTTTCTGACTTCTCTCAGCTTAAAGCATTTAAAGCCTGACTCTGCATGATGGTGAATGTAGAGAATAGACATTTTAGGGCTGCTTCGTCACTGCTCTGCCTCAAGTCACTGTGCAGCGGATAAGAGGAGGACTCTTGAAAAAGTTCTGCCTTTGTTGGGGGAGGTCTTCTAATGTCAAAGGCAAATCCTTCAGAAATAAAGGAATATGCTTTGCCCTTTCTCTCATAGCAGCTGTTTCCCACAGACAACACTTGTTCTAGTTTTATATCATACTATGATTGACAACTATACAATAGTCCTACCATTCTTTCTTTTTGCAATGAGAAAGTGCAGTGTTCCGACTAATGGGGTGAGAGGTTTGCTTCCCACCATCAGCTAAGGCTCACAGACAAGGTTTACAGTGGGAATTAGTTAGGTACCTAACTGCCAATTTTATGTCTTTAAAAATCCTCCCTTTTACAAGTAATTAAGGGTGCGGAATTTTCATCAGGCATCACAAGTACCCAGCCCACTCAGCTGTCTGGTGAATTACACAGGCAGATTCAGGGCACTTGTTTCTACTGTGGAGTGTAATGACCCTCGGTGCTGGAACAATGAAGTAAGTGGTCAGAACATGCTTTCATGGTCCTTCAGAAATGCTCCACAGCCACAACTGCTGCCCTCTCTGATCAGCAACAAATCTGGAGTGGGGCTGTTCGTGCTGGCACAGCCTCTCTCAACTGGAACACTTTCATCCTGTCAATAGCTTGGTTTTTGAAGAGAACTGGAAGAACAACATACTCTCTGATTGCAAGAAAGGTCTGGCAGGCTAGAATTAAATGAAACATGACTACCAGACAATGTAATAACAATGCAACTTATTAATACTTATTATACTTTAATTACTATTATCATGGCTACATTAAGCAGATTGCCCAAAAGCATATCTCACTGTATTAGTCATGTAGCTTATGGCTTTTTTATACCTAAAATATTAAAACAGTTGTTTGTCATGCCTTTTTTTAAAATTAGCATGGATTATTAAAACTATTCTTTACACTGTTTTCTTAGATTTCTGTTCTAAATTTTCTATCCCTATGGCAATCTGCAGCAGCACAATACTAAGAATGTAGAAATAAAGATGATGATCATTACAGCATTATAGCATCTTCTTTGATAAAAAAGCCACCTCCCAAAATGTATCTGCACCACGTTTTAATGAAATTAAATCCCTTTTGAGTCTAGAATGAGTATCTTCCACAGTAAAGACTTCCCGCTTAGGACATTCTGCTTAATTCCTACCTTACAAGGAAATTAATTTTCTTTCAAAAGAAAAATGAACACTGTTAGTAACAATTCCATGAGTCTTAAAAATGCCTAGCTCTTAGCAGAACAGTTTGAGTGGTTGCTGCTCTCCTGCAACAAATACAATTAATCCAGTACCTAATGCCTCTCCACCCAGTGGTATTATTCCTCTCTGAAGAGTGAAGAAATGTTGATTCTCTCAATTCAACAGCATAAAATTAATTTTCAAAACAGTAGGCACCAGACAAGTTCAGGTCTTTTTGAAATGGCAAGTCATAAAATCCCTGCCTGTTGCATTACTCCTGATCAGCTTTACAGCAGCTTAAAAACTTGCAGTATCTTCATACGCTACACACATGTGAAATTATAGAGCAGGTGTTCAACAAGAATGAAAGTTGTTAAACTTCAGAGACATGTACCATTTTTGCTTTTATTTATGGTCCTTAAGTAATTATAGGAATAGATAACACCAAAAAAAAATTAGTT